GCGTCACCCACCGCCCATGACGCCGCCGTCCCGCTCCTCCCTGCTCCCAAAGCGCCCGTCACCGCTCGCCCCGCACCAGAGGAACAAAACCTGGATTTCTCTCAACTCCATGGTCCCTAATTTTGACAGCTGCATCCAGACACGGTATTTTTAAATTAAGGCCATTTTAAATGTCTACTTACAAGTCTAATAAACAAGATCTCTTATATACACGTTGGTTAAAAAAACTCAGAAGGTGGCATTTAACAACAGCTCCCTGTACAAGTCTCCCGTGAGGAATCTCATCTCCGGCGGGGATGCTTCATTCTGAAGTGACTCTGGCTTTACAAAAACAAACAGATCACGGACAAGAATTTACACGCACGAGAGTCATTCGAACGCGAGCGCAACACGGACAGAAATCCCCCCGGGGAGCCCCGCGAGCGGGACGCGGCGCACGCAGCTCACGCTGTACCTGCGGCTGTTTCAAAGCAAAGGGCTCCGAGTCACCTGCGCCCAAATGACTCCTGTTCTCTCAGGGTTTCCTCCTGTTCGAAGCTACCTTTTTTTTTTTCTCCCCTCTTTAAACTGAAAAAGCGTTAGCAATCTGAAATAAGCAGACACCAGGAGTTACCACGTGCTACCGGGCTGAAATCCTGACCAAACCCATTTTCGACAGATGCAGGATAACCTTTCAGTTGCGTGGGAAGGAACGAGAAAGACACACGTAAGCCAAGAGATCTAAAGAAAAAAACATATTTTAGTGCAAATGGTCAACTAATGGCACGAACGTGAGCAAACACGCACGCAGATTAGAGAGATCCCAGCAACGACCCTGCGCAGCAGCGTTTGCGGGAGTCTCGGGAGGGTGTCCCACCCATTTCTGGAAGCACACAGAAACCTAGTATAACTCATTAAGAGCAGGCCAGCTCCCCTGCGGACCTTCGCCTGCGCTTGCTGGGAACAGCAAGGAAAATCCTTCTCGAGGGGAATGGGACGGGGGAGATGAGCTGAGGGGTTTTTTTTTTTGCGTGAAAGTCATGGCAGCTGCGAAAGAACGGACACGGTTTTCGACAAGAAGCAAACCCAGCGGATGCAGACCGAGTGGGAAGAGAGCGGATGTGGCACTGCCATGCGGAGGGGGGAATCAGCACGACACAACTCATCTTGCAATGAAAACTACGACGGCTCTTTTATTGAGGCTGCATTTAACAAACATGGAGGTGGACGTTCAATCCCTACTGCACGGAAATGCTTTGCCAGGAATTCCCTCACCTCACGTTCGGGCTGCTAGGCACAACGTAATTTTTGATTTGTTAAGAAGACTCCAAATAATGTTAATTGACACCTTCTGCTCAAGAGAAGGCTCACACACTTATCGATGCCGTTACTGCGCAGATTATAGTGTAACGAGGAACACGTTGTGTCCCGGAAC